CACTATTCCTTTTCCCCCCCGTCCCATCCCTAATCCTTATCCTGACCCTTTCCATGTGCTATATAGTCGTAATGTCTTGGCGCTTTCCCATTATAGTTCCCTCTCTCTCTCCATTCACTTATTTTGTCCAGGTCATCTTGAAGGACATGACTATTGTGACTCTAGCCTTAGCATCATCATAGCATCATCATAGCATTATCTTAGCATCATCATAGCAAGGGAGCCGGTCGGCCGAGCGGACAGCACGCTGGACTTGTGATCCTGTGGTCCCGGGTTCGATCCCGGGCGCGGCGAGAAACAATGGGCAGAATTTCTTTCACCTTATGCACCTGTTACCTAGCAGTAAAATAGGTACCTGGGTGTTAGTCAGCTGTCACGGGCTGCTTCCTGGGGGTGGAGGCCTGGTCGAGGACCGGGCCGCGGGGACACAAAAGCCCCGAAATCATCTCAAGATAACCTCAGGAAGAGGAAGAAGATATATCGTCTGTGTAAACAATGAACATTACCGGAGCAAGAACTGAACCCTGTGGGACTCCTCTTGCAACATTTCTCTGGTTATATTCATGTCTGTGATTACCGCCCTTATCTGTCTGTCGGGTAGAGAACATTTATTTGTTGACCACAGCACACACACTAGAAGGTGAAGGGACGACGACATTTCGGTCCGTCCTGGACCATTCTCAAGGCAATCGACTCGAGAATGGTCCAGGACGGACCGAAACGTCGTCGTCCCTTCACCTTCTAGTGTGTGGTCTGGTCAACTTACTTTAGCCACGTTATTGTGACTCATCGCCTGCATAGAGAACATTTATTATTGATGCTGAAGCCTCCGGGGCTAATCTTGATTATCTTGAGATCTTGAGATGATTTCGGGGCTTTAGTGTCCCCGCGGCCCGGTCCTCGACCAGGCCTCTACCCCCAGGATGTTCCAGTTTCCAGAAAAGCTTCTTATGTGAGAGTGTCAGAAGCCTTTTTTCAGGACCAGATGAATGCAGTCAACCCAACCATCTCTTTCCTATAAAATCTTTATAAGGCTCTGTCACTGAAACTAACTTGATTTATTTCACAGGATCTTACATTTCGAAAACTCTACTGTCTTTGATTTGATTATGTCTCTGAAGGTGTTCTGTCAAATTTGATTTTAATAATTTTTCTCTAGTGTTTTTTTAACTGTTTTTTTAATAGTGTTTTTAACATGCTTGACAACTATACATGTTTTTATAATTAAGAAGGTCTTGCCTGCAATCATTTTAGTAGACTGGAACTGTGTTTGCCGTTCCTCATATCTCTCCCAAGACTCCTGAACACAAAGATGATTGACAAGAGGAGTGCTGAGTTCAGATGCTCATTCTCTCTGAACCTAAAGGTGATTCTCCATCCGGGTCTATCCACTCTATCCTATCTGGCTCAAGTGACTATTTTCTAACTATCCTCCTCGTGAATTGTTGTCCACTTCGTCTCGAGTCTCCTCTGTGGACTACCCAACCACTTGAGCTGGAGGGTAGAGCGACGGTCTCGCTTCATGCAGGTCGGCGTTCAATCCCCGACTGTCCACAAGTGGTTGGGCACCATTCCTTGCCTCCCACCGTCCCATCACAAATCCTTATCCTGACCCCTTCCCAGTGCCATATAGTCGTAATGGCTTGGCGCTTTTCCCCTAATAGTTTCCTTCCTCTATGCAGTCTATTATTTTCTGAAATTCTATTATATCCGGAACTCTGAAAACTCTTGGTTTACACAAACACTCTTTGGAAGTGTTTGTTTAGTGTGATACACATTTGTTTATCATTTGTTTAGTGTGATAAAGATTTGTTTATCATTCACCCATGAATCTTTTCCCCAATTTTGGGGCTCAGGTCGGCGGAGTGGACAGCACGCTGGACTTGTGATCCTGTGGTCCTGGGTTCGATCCCAGGCGCCGGCGAGAAACAATGGGCAGAGTTTCTTTCACCCTATGCCCCTGTTACCTAGCAGTAAAATAGGTACCTGGGTGTTAGTCAGCTGTCACGGGCTGCTTCCTGGGGGTGGAGGCCTGGTCGAAGACCGGGCCGCGGGGACACTAAAGCCCCGAAATCATCTCAAGATAACCTCAAGATAACCTCAGAATTTTATCTTTTTTACCTGCAATTTTTTCTTTTTAATGAATCTGTAGGATTCATAATAGGTCTGGTTCCGTTTTTTTTTCACATATCCGTAATCCCTCTGTCAACGGTCCGTTCCACGTCTGTTGTCACTGTTATGTACATGTTTGTTGCTTGTTTGTACTGCTGGTATGTGTTGCGACCCAGGGGGCCAGATTCACGAAGCAGTTACGCAAGCACTTACGAACCTGGGGGCCAGATTCACGAAGCAGTTACGCAAGCACTTACGAACCTGGGGGCCAGATTCACGAAGCAGTTACGCAAGCACTTACGAACCTGGGGACCAGATTCACGAAGCAGTTACGCAAGCACTTACGAACCTGGGGGCCAGATTCACGAAGCAGTTACGCAAGCACTTACGAACCTGGGGGCCAGATTCACGAAGCAGTTACGCAAGCACTTACGAACCTGGGGGCCAGATTCACGAAGCAGTTACGCAAGCAATTACGAACCTGGGGGCCAGATTCACGAAGCAGTTACGCAAGCACTTACGAACCTGGGGGCCAGATTCCCAAAGCACTTACGCAACACTTACGAACTTGGGACCAGATTCACGAAGCAGTTACGCAAGCACTTACGAACCTGTACATCTTTCCTCAATCTGTTACGGCTTTGTTTACAATTATTAAACAGTTAATGAGCTCCGAAGCACCAGGAGGCTGTTTATAACAATAACAACAGTTGATTGGCAAGTTTTCATGCTTGTAAACTGTTTAATAAATGTAACCAAAGCCGTCAAAGACTGAGAAAAGATGTACAGATTCGTAAGTGCTTGCGTAACTGCTTCGTGAATCTGGTCCCCAGGTTCGTAAGTGCTTGCGTAACTGCTTCGTGAATCTGGCCCCCAGGTTCGTAAGTGCTTGCGTAACTGCTTCGTGAATCTGGCCCCCAGGTTCGTATGTGCTTGCGTAACTGCTTCGTGAATCTGGCCCCCAGGTTCGTAAGTGCTTGCGTAACTGCTTCGTGAATCTGGCCCCCCGGTACGTACCTGGATCCTAAATAAATTCATGCATGTTTATACATTCATAACACTTCATTTAACTATATATTTCAAATTATCATATTTCTGGCTTCAGTTCATTAGTACAATGTTGAATTATTATTCTGCTGTTTGTATTACAATTGTATTATTGTATTGCGGTGTTGTATTTTGTTGTATGAGAGTCAGTGGAGCGTGTATACCTGTGTTAGACATGTATTTATCAGGATCGGGGTACTCACCTAGTTGTGCTTGCGGAGGTTGAGCTCTGGCTCTTTGGGCCCGCCTCTCAACCGTCAATCAACAGGTGTACAGATTCCTGAGCCTATCGGGCTCTGTCATATCTACACTTGAAACTGTGTATGGAGTCAGCCTCCACCACATCACTGCCTAATGCATTCCATTTGTCAACCACTCTGACACTAAAAAAGTTCTTTCTAATATCTCTGTGGCTCATTTGGGCACTCAGTTTCCACCTGTGTCCCCTTGTGCGTGTTCCCCTTGTGTTAAATAGACTGTCTTTATCTACCCTATCAATCCCCTTCAGAATCTTGAATGTGGTGATCATGTCCCCCCTAACTCTTCTGTCTTCCAGCGAAGTGAGGTTTAATTCCCGTAGTCTCTCCTCGTATCGCTCATACCTCTCAGCTCGGGTACTAGTCTGGTGGCAAACCTTTGAACCTTTTCCAGTTTAGTCTTATCCTTGACTAGATATGGACTCCATGCTGGGGCTGCATACTCCAGGATTGGCCTGACATATGTGGTATACAAAGTTCTGAATGATTCTTTACACAAGTTTCTGAATGCCGTTCGTATGTTTGGCCAGCCTGGCATATGCCGCTGATGTTATCCGCTTGATATGTGCTTGCAGGAGACAGGTCTGGCGTGATATCAACCCCCAAGTCTTTTTCCTTCTCTGACTCCTGAGAATTTCCTCTCCCAGATGATTACCTTGTATCTGGCCTCCTGCTCCCTCCCTCCCTCCCTGTGTGTTGTGTGTGTGTGTGTGTGTGTGTTTGTGTGTGTGTGGTGTGTGTTGTGGTGTGTGTGTGTGTGCAAGAAGTACACTTAGCTGAGTTGTTGTTCCAATGTGTCATATGTATTATACATATGTCTCGCAGTGATTGATAGTGAATATCTCCGTATGGTGCTTGGCTATAGTGTGCCTGGTCGCTCACGCTGCCTAGTTAGTTGCACACTGATAGTGAGTTAGAGTGATGACAGTGACATAGGTATATAAAATGCTGTGATAACATTATGTTTAAGGGCTCTCACCACTTCCTTATCTGATTAAACATTAGTGTTTCTTGGGTCTTCCGACCTCTGGCAACTCTGTTGTGTGATGCTGCACCTCTGGCAACGCTGCTGAGTGATGCTGCACCTCTGGCAACGCTGTTGTGTGATGCTGCACCTCTGGCAACGCTGCTGAGTGATGCTGCACCTCTGGCAACTCTGCTGTGTGATGCTGCACCTCTGGCAACGCTGCTGAGTGATGCTGCACCTCTGGCAACGCTGCTGTGTGATGCTGCACCTCTGGCAACGCGTCTGTGTCATGCTGCACCTCTGGCAACGTTGCTGTGTGATGCTGCACCTCTGGCAACTCTGCTGTGGGATGCTGCACCTCTGGCAACGCTGCTGAGTGATGCTGCACCTCTGGCAACGCTGCTGAGTGATGCTGCATCGCTGGCAACGCTGCTGAGTGATGCTGCACCTCTGGCAACGCTGCTGTGTGATGCTGCACCTCTGGCAACTCTGTTGTGTCATGCTGCACCTCTGGCAACGCTGCTGTGTGATGCTGCACCTCTGGCAACGCTGCTGTGTCATGCTGCACCTCTGGCAACGCTGCTGTGTCATGCTGCACCGCTGGCAACGCGTCTGTGTCATGCTGCACCTCTGGCAATGCTGCTGGCTGCTGTGTCATGCTGCACCTCTGGCAACGCGTCTGTGTCATGCTGCACCTCGGCAACGTTGCTGTGTCCATGCTGCACCTCTGGCAACGCGTCTGTGTCATGCTGCACCTCTGGCAACGCTGCTGTGTCATGCTGCACCTCTGGCAACGCGTCTGTGTCATGCTGCACCTCTGGCAACGTTGCTGTGTCATGCTGCACCTCTGGCAACGCGTCTGTGTCATGCTGCACCTCTGGCAACGCTGCTGTGGTCATCTGCACCTCTAGCAACGCGTCTGTGTCATGCTGCACCTCTGGCAACGTTGCTGTGTCATGCTGCACCTCTGGCAACGCGTCTGTGTCATGCTGCACCTCTGGCAACGTTGCTGTGTCATGCTGCACCTCTGGCAACGTTGCTGTGTCATGCTGCACCTCTGGCAACGCGTCTGTGTCATGCTGCACCTCTGGCAACGTTGCTGTGTCATGCTGCACCTCTGGCAACGCGTCTGTGTCATGCTGCACCTCTGGCAACGTTGCTGTGTCATGCTGCACCTCTGGCAACGCGTCTGTGTCATGCTGCACCTCTGGCAACGTTGCTGTGTCATGCTGCACCTCTGGCATGGAAAACATTGAGCTGTGGCTTCGCATCTCATTTATTTCTCTGCCTAAGAAGAAATCTTTCCCATGAAGTTCGTTATTGATCTTGCAAACTTCTCCATATTTTTCTGCCCTGAATCAAGTATTTTACTGCTTTTAATTTGTGTGTGTTGTGTGTGTGTGTGTGTGTGTGTGTGTGTTTAATATTAATTAATTATTAATGAATCACACTGAGAATATATATATATTATAATATATATATATATATATATATATATATATATATAGTATATATATATAATTATATAGTATATATATTAATGTGACGGGAAAGTGTTTGGAGTGTTGATGTTCGGCGCAGTCCTCCATGGCAGGTGTCAAAGCCTGGTCACACTTGAAACCAAAATATAGACTGCTTGCCTGTTGTCTCTGGTAAGTTAGAGGGAGGAACACGTAAAACACAAAGTAGGAACATTGAAACTTTAATATATTTACTTTAAAACATAAATGAAAATAAAGGCAATCTCGGGCAAATGACTAATGAAATAA